ATAAATATAATAATAATAATAATAATTATTATTATTAATTACAATACGACGATTATGTTGTATATTCTATTTTAATAAATATAATTAAAATGTATAACACATAATATAAGATATTATTATATTATTATAATATTAAAAATGATATATTATAATATAGGTATATAATAAGATCGTAGATGAAGATCGTATAGTGAGAAACCTCTAAACCCTTACACCTTAAATCTTCAACCCTAAACCCTAAACCCCTAAAGCCGTAAACTCCCACATCATAAACGTTAAACCCTAAACCCTAAAGCCTAAAACCTTAAACTCCAAACCCTAAACCCTAAACCCTAAATCCCTAAACCTTATTCCCCAAAACCCAAAACCCTAACGCCTAAAAGCCTAACGCCTAAACCCTAAACCCCAAACTCTATACCTTAAACCCTATACCCCTAAAAACTTAAAACTCTAAAACCATAAACCCTAAATCGCTAAGGCCCAAAGCCCCTAAGCCCGTAAATCCAAAACTTTAAACACTAAAATCAAAAACCCAAAACTCTAAACCTAAAACCCTAAACCTAAAACCCTAAAACCCTAAATCCCTAAGGCCCAAAGCCCAAAGCCCGTAAACCCTAAACTCCAAACACCAAAATCAAAAACCCAAAACCCAAAACTCAAAACCTAAAACCCTAAACCCAAAACCCTACAACCCTAAAACCCTAAACCCTAAACCCTAAACCCTAAACCTAAAACCCTAAGCCTTAAGCCCTAAGCCCTAAGCCCTAAACCCTAAACCCTAAACCCTAAGCCCTAAGCCCTAAGCCCTAAACCCTAAACCCTAAGCCCTAAGCCCTAAACCCTAAACCCTAAACCCTAAGCCCTAAGCCCTAAACCCTAAACCCTAAACCCGAAACCCGAAACCCCTAAACTCTAAACTTTACACCTCCCCTAAACCCCAAACCCCTAAACTCTAAACTCTACACCCTAAACCCTAAACCCTAAACCCTAGACTCTAGACCCTAAACCCTAAACGCTAAACCCTAAACCCTAACCCTTAAACCCTAAACCCTGATACGAACCACACCAACAATGTGATGAAACCCGAAACCAAATATGGAATTAAGATTCAAGATCTATCAAGAATTAATGGAAACCACGACCCGTTGCTTAGCAAAGCAAGAACCTTGGTATGGTGAAGACGCCACTAACGAGTATGGAAAATCCATTTTATAAGTCAAGTTTGAACGCCACAAGGAAACCTTGATAAGTTCGGAATAATTTCTTCAAGAACTTAAGAAGAATATCTCACAATATGAATAAACATAAAAAACTAAACTTTATTAATCGAATTTCAGCCTTAAATAGCCAAAAATAACATGAAGAGTTTTAAAATTGTAAAAGTCCTAATATACCCTTAATGAGATAAATGCACCTAAAACAAGATAACACTCCTAAAAGCAAATCCTAGGAAGGAATCCGAATTTGACTCCAACTCTTTCCTTTTAAACACGCCTAATTTGGATTTTAAATGATAAATTGAAACCTAAATCTAAAAAGATAGGATTAGGACGAAATTAAATCTTCATCCACAATCTTGACTTGATCCCTTGCTGGAAATTGCGCCTAAAGCCTTTTGGACTTTCCTTTGCACGTGTATCTCAGAATAACATGCAAGTTGGCCATGCAATGGCTTAATGGACGTGTATGACTGAATGGCTCTCTTCCGGATCAACTTTAATGAGTAAAACCAGCCTTTGTTCACCCTCAGTAGTGAGCACTCTCTCTTCTTGTTGTAGAACTCTCCGGACTAGGTTATTCAATTCTTCTTTAAATCTTTTAGCTCGATACCTCGTCACCGGACCAACTAGAACTTGAATTGAATCGTGAGTATTCCTTGCATCCCTGATGTCCTCATCAAACCCTATACCCTAAACCCTATACCCCTAAAACCCTAAAACTCAAAAACCCTAAACCCTAAACCCCCTAAGCCCTAAACACTAATAGCAAAAACCCAAAACCTTAAACCCTAAACCCTAAATCCTAAATCCTAAACCCAAAAACCCTAATACCATAAAACCCTAAACCCTAAACCCTAATCCCTAAATCAAACCCTAAACCCTAATCCCTAAATCAAACCCTAAACTCAAAACCCTAAACCCTAAACCCTAAACTTAAACCCCAAAATTAAAAACCCAAACCCAAACACCTAAAACCCTAAAACCTTAAAACCCTAAACCTTAAACCCTAAACCCTAAAACTTAAACCCTAAACCCTAAATCCTAAACCCTAAATCCTAAACTTAACCCCTAAAAAAGCCCAAAATATAAACCCAAAACTCAAAATCCTAAACCCTAAATCCTAAAACTCTAAAACCCTAAAGCCCTAAAACCTTAAACACTAAACCCCAAACCCTAAACCCTTAATCCTAAACCCTTAAACCCTAAACCCTAAATCCTAAACCCCTACACCCTAAACGTTAAATCCTAAACCCTAAACCTTAAACCCTAAACATAAACCCTAAAAAACCCAAAATTAAAGCCCAAAACCCAAAATCATAAACCCAAAATCCTAAAACCATAAAACCGTAAAACCTTAAACCCTGTACCCTAAACCCTAAACCCCTAAAGCCCTAAAGCCCTACACCCTAAACATTAAACCCTAAACCTAAACCCTAAACGCTAAACCCTAGTCCCTAAACCCTAAATCCTAGTCCCTAATCCCTAATCCCTGAACCCTAAAACCCTAAACCCTAAACCCTAAGCCCTAAAACCCTAAAACCTTAAAACATAAAACCCTAAACCCCTAAGCCCCAAAGGCACTAAGGCCATAAACCTTAAACCCTAAACCCTAAAATCAAAAACCCAAAACCCAAAACCCTAATCCCTAAAACCCTAAAGCCTAAAACACTAAAAGCCTAAAAGCCTAAACCCTAAACCCTAAAGCCTAAAGCCAAAACCCTAAACCCTAAGCCCTAAAACCCTATACACTAAACCCTAACCCTAAACATTTAACCCTAAACCCTAAACCCGTAAACCCTTACACCCTAAATGTTAAA